CTTTCACTTTCTTTAAAATAAATGGACCATGTTACAAGGATTCGTAATTTCCCAGAATGCTCAAATTTCTAGTCTGCTCCGTTTTGAAAAATGTGATACATTTTGTTTCGATAAACTCTTCTAAAAAAAAAAAAAAAAAGAAGAAAACAAAAGAAAAGAGGATTTTGTTGAAAACATATAAAACAATAAAAACAATCATAAATATTCCAGTGAAACAGCAGAATATCTTGGCCAGAGCTACATGATAAAGAGTCTTACCTGCGGTCTCCAACTTTAGCTCTTTAGAGGTGTTGCAGCTGAAACAAAGAGAGAAGAAGAGAGTTTTCTTTAAGGACGTGAACAACTCAAGGCTAGTAAAAAAAACAAAAAAAAAGCAGTATTGAGCTGGTCTGAGCTAGTAACAACCATCTCAGGCTCATACTCTCCGGAAAGCAAACTGCAGTCTACACCCAACATCATTACACGCTGCCCAACACTCAAACACAAGACCTGTGTTATCAGCTGCTGTTTTTCAGAGGTCCACGGTGTGTGACACATAACTGTGTACACACACACACTCTCACACTCTCACACTCACACTCACACTCACACTCACACTCACACTCACACTCACACACACATGGCCACACAGAGCCGGATGAATGCAGATCCCTGGGGCGCTCAGTTCAGTTGCCAAGGGTTGCAATCCCATGCCAGACAGACACGGCATGAATGGCATGCAAAAATCTATAACAATGACGTCAATGGAGGAAAAAATTACAGAAGGAGAGAAACAAAGAATGTGTGTGCGCGTGTGTGTGTGCGTGTGTGTGTGTGCGTTATGCATACTCTATTCTGTCTGTACTGTAAACTCCGTTTCTTTGCCTTTATAAGCATCAACCATGCAAAAAGTCTGAACACTCTGAACAGTGTTATTTTAATATCACTGATAAACTATTATAGTTTATGACTTTAATTTATTGTATATGTTTTCATTTTAAGTAAAGGTTTAGTTGTTTTGCTGTGTGTTTTTGTCACTTTTATTGTTTGTTTCTTTCTTTATAGACTTGTATTTCTTTATAGTTTCTTATAGACTTCATCTTTTAGACTTTTATTTTAGTAATTAATTTTTTTATATATATGTTACATATATGATTATTTTTTGTATGTAGCAACCACATGTCAATGACATATTTATCAAATATATGTTACTTATATAAGCAACTTAATTAAAATGACCCATATACAAAAACTTGTATATTTATATATGTTTTTGTAATTTTTTTAAATATTTTATATTTACTAATATCCTTACTAATACTAATATTTACTAATTTTATATTACTAATGTCATCATGTATTGACTGGTTTTAGGATGGATATACATGTATATGACATATATTTCCAAAAAATGTATTACACACACACACAAGCATACATATTTGTATGGGCAAGATATTTTCAAGTTTTTAATAGGTTTCATATACGTTGGGTGGGGGGGGGGGGGGGGCAGACCTGATCAGATGTATTTACAGCAGCAACTCTTAGCAGAGGAAATACTTTCATATCACACAATGGAAGTTTCATAACACTCTGCATGGTCTGCATGTATAATGCACCATAAATGTGTTATTGATGGATTATAATATCAGTATAATGCATTACAACATGATCAACACCAGATTTATCTTATTTAGTTTTGTTATGTTTTATAATATTTCAAATATTGACAATGAATAAGTAGATATTATAATGTATTATAACTGTCATATTTTAATCCTTTAATACTTTTATAAACATTGGTCATGCATAAGTCATAAGTCTGAATGCTAAGAACTGCTACTTTAGCATCACTGATGTACTATTATAGTTTGTGTTATTTTGAATAATATTTTATTTTGTTTTAATTTTTAGTCATTTAAAATTTTAAGTTTTAATTTTTTGTTTTCATTTTAGTAATTGTTTTTTATTGTTTTAAGTAATTATTTTATTGTTTTTTTATTGTTTTATTGTTTTTAGTAATTGTTTTATTGTTGCTTAAATTGTTCTATTTCCATTTTAGTAATTTTTATTGTTTTAGTAATTTGTATTAGTTTCTGTTAATATGTCAATATTTTCATTTTAGTTAACATTTTAGTAATATTGTTGTGTGTTTGTCATTTTTATTCGTTTTATTAATATTGTCCATATTTTTCTATCTTCATTTTTGTACATTTTTTGACATTTTTATTATGTTTTTGTAATTTGTATTATGATTATTTTTAAACACATCTATATTTTTATATTTCATTACTTCAACTTCAACAGAAATTAGAAGTATTTTACAATATGTTATTATTTTATTATTATTATTATTATAATGCAAACATAGACATTCATAATTTGTATAAAGTTGATTTCTGTTTCTTTTTTTCAACAATATTTGCATGGCTCATAAAATCCCTGTCCGTGTGTTTGTGGTCAACTGAAAGCATGTTTACACAAAGCTAACATATTCTGTCCAGTAGGGGGCGAAATAAAGTGACCCTGTCCTTGACCTGTCGGCATAAATTACTATTTGTCACGCAAAACGAACCATTCAGGAAAGGCAATTAAACGATCTTTAGCCATCGGCTCTCAAAGGCAAGCATAGCATGATAAGCTGGTTGGGTTTAATCTTTAAACAGGGCTGTGATAAAAGCCATCCATCTTTAAGGTGCACCCTTGAGCGAGGCGATGGGAGCGATGACAGTGAGTGTGTGTGAGTGAAACTGAAGCAGCCCAGCACGAACACTGCGCTTCGGTTTCAGCTCCGTAACACTGCAGGAACAAATCTTCTGCTACAACTAAAATACAGACTAGATAAAAGTTTTAGAAGCGCTGTGAAAGCTGCTAGGTAGGAATCAGCAGCCTCAAAATGACAGTAAAAAGTGTTTGTGATGCAACAACAAACCCAGACCGTAACACACACACTCACACATACACATACACTCACACATGCACACACACATACACTCACACATCCGCAAACATTTCAGCAGTTATTATAGACCTGTGTGTCCCGTATTTCTGTCGACTGAACCAGCCATGCCATTAATTATGTCTTTTGCATGTCAAAGTCAATTTCTGCATAGAAATATTATGCCAAATAGAAGCAGAAAATCAAGCTATGTTACAAATGGGAATACAACTAATTCATGACAATGTTTTACATTTAAGCTACCCGTTATAGTAAAAAGTACTTTAAAAGCACCTGGAACGCAATAAAGTAATTTTAAAGCATTTGCTGCATGGATAAAAAATAGGCTAATAAATAATTAACATATCATACAGAATTGTGTTGCAGCAAATCCTTTACATTTTAAGGTATTCAGAACAGAGCAACATAAAAATCAGAAAAAGCAGCTATACAATTATAGGACAAAGTTTTACATATATGCCATTATAATTTGTGTTTTATTTAAATTAATTGTACGGAATTATAAAATAAAACGCAAATTATAATCGGGTCTGTTTTAGGCTTTTCCTTATTTTTACATTTTAGACATCCATCAATTATGGTGATGGAAAAAAAAATGACTCGCCATCTCCTTTAAAAAAGAGTTTCTATTTTCGATTTTAATTATTTCATTTTAAAGTAGTAATTTAAAGCTTTCTATATATTTGTATCATGTCTGTGAGGCAATTCGCGGAGTTTAGGTTCATCATTGCACTCTCAGAAAAAAAGGTACAAAAGCTGTCACTGGGGCGGTACCTTTTCAAAAGGCACACTTTTGCACCTAAAGAGTCCATATTGGTACCTTAAAGATACATATTAGTACCTAAAGTGTACATATTAGTACCTTAAAGATACATATTAGTACCTAAAGTGTACATATTAGTACCTAAAGTGTACATATTAGTACCTAAAAAGTACAAAAGTGTCCTTTTTGAAAAGGTACCGCCCCAGTGACAGCTTTTGTACCTTTTTTTCTGAGATTGTGTGAAGCGCTCCTGTTCAAGACCGAGACGGCAGAACGTGTTTGTTTTCTTTATTTTATAAAAGCACAACGTTTTGTTGATACTGTGAGTGCACACAAATAAAACTAGACCCTTTACAGTTTATAATGATGTATTACTCTTACCTTTATGAGCAAAAATGACTGCGTATTTTAAGTTGTTTGCACCGTTAGAAGAAAATGCAAGTGATCGCGCCGGCGCCTCCGTGTGCTGCCGAGCACGCTTCAGCTTCCACTCTCCGCACAAACGATTGGATATGCGTCTAGCTGCGCACATTTATCTAGGTTAAACATTTAAACATCGTGATATGCTTGAACTGTTTTATATAGAGATTTTATTATAGGCAAGTCGTGATGATTTGAGAAGGCTAAATTTAATTAAATTAATCAATTCACTGTCTGCCGCTGGCTGTTATTTAAAAAAAAAAAAAAAAACTTAGGTCATTTAACGAACAAAAAAATGCTCCAAACGTTTTTCTAAATTAACTTCAGAAAAAAAACGAAATTAAATATAATCACTTTTCCATTACATACAAAACTGAACTATTTAAATTCTTTTGGGGGGAAAGGGGAAAGACGACGACGCCCCCCCCCCCCAAAAAACCCTCAAAATAAATGAAATGAAATACAATCACTTTTTCATTACATACAAAGCTGAACTATTTTAATAGCTGAAACAGTAGTATAAGCTTTTTTTGGGAAAAGGGGAAAAAAGACGGGCTAGGGCCTATATTTGAGGCCCGTGCAGCACTCTAATCCACTTCATCCAACACTGTGTTGTTCTCATCTGTGAGCATGCTCTTGATATATGTATATGTATAACTATGTGCGTACCCTCAAAAGAAATCCTGCAGGCGCCCCTGGTCCGAGTTGAACGTGCTTTTTGTGTACCCTGCTTGAAGGAGATGAAAATATTATGCATCTGAAGCTGTAATTAAATATTGAGAAACAGTGTGTATGATATGCTTTAAATCGTTTAAAATGCTTACTCATTTATGAGAAGGAACCAAGTAGAGGACACAGTTACTTTAGTGGTTGATATAATCCTTAGTGTGTAAATGTATAATTGCCTTTTCATTATTTTTTCAGTTTTATTTAAATTTAAGGCTATATTTGTTCACACTTTTCTCATTCTATATTTCTGACGTTCCAAAAGCGCCTCCTGCTGGCAGAGAATGAATGTTCATCTTCAATAATCCAGTCTGCAATTTTTGTTCAGACCAATGCGAAAATCCACCCACATAACCCCGTTTTAAATTAATATAATAATTTATAGTTATAGTTATTTTGTTTTTGTGAAAACCTGTATCTCAACTGTAAATCCGTTGCTATTTCGTGGTCTACAACATATTATAACATGTACATGAAAAATGTAGAAACGTTGGACACAACTATGGGGCACCATTGTGCAGCAGCAAGCATCACAACAAAAAAGGAACCTCAAGGTTGTTTATGAGAAGGAACCAAGTAGAGGACACAGTTACTTTAGTGGTTCATATAATCCTTAGTGTGTAAATGTATAATTGCCTTTTCATTATTTTTTCAGTTTTATTTAAATTTAAGGCTATATTTGTTCACACTTTTCTCATTCTATATTTCTGACGTTCCAAAAGCGCCTCCTGCTGGCAGAGAATGAATGTTCATCTTCAATAATCCAGTCTGCAATTTTTGTTCAGACCAATGCGAAAATCCACCCACATAACCCCGTTTTAAATTAATATAATAATTTATAGTTATAGTTATTTTGTTTTTGTGAAAACCTGTATCTCAACTGTAAATCCGTTGCTATTTCGTGGTCTACAACATATTATAACATGTACATGAAAAATGTAGAAACGTTGGACACAACTATGGGGCACCATTGTGCAGCAGCAAGCATCACAACAAAAAAGGAACCTCAAGGTTGATCTAAGAAAATGTGTGCAAATGTATAGGGCCCCATTCCTATATTTTGCCTGGGGCCCCCAATTCACTAAATCCACCCCTGCACACACCTCTGTCTGACTGTCTGCCCCCAGCCTTTCTCTGACCCCCTTCACCTGCCTGCTTATTAAAATCTCATAGTATTAACTCTGCTGCTCACGGCCAGGCTGAATAATTCAATCAGACTAAAAGAGTCAAATTAATCTTTAATGGCATTAAAGCCACAGGGCGAGCGAGCCGGACTCTGGCCTTCACCTGAGACGCTCGACAGCCACAAACGCTCTCGAGAGCCACAGATCCAGATCAGACGATGAGAGATGGAGTCCAGCTGAGAGAGATCAGATCTGTTCTGCGCTAGAGTCCTGTTATTACGCTCTTCACATTCGTTTCGCATTTACCCTCACATTAAATATAATTACTACAACGCCATTGAGAGCCATTAAGAGACTCAACCATGACTCTTTTTGACTGTCGGGCCAGAGCCCAGAATAGCGAGCATTAATATAAGAGATATCTACCAAAAAATGTATAGCATTCATCATATCTTCTGCTACTGGCAGTGGAGACTTTTACATCTGTCATGTGACCACACAACTATTATTCTGTACATTTACACTAACGCTCAAAAGATTGTAATAAGTCCGTTTTTTTTTTTAAAGAAGTCTCTTCTACTCACCGTAATTTGAGATCAAAATTCTCCTATATTAATTTTTTTTTAAATAATTTATTTCTGTGACAGTAAAGACATTTATATAATGTTTCAAAGAGTTTTTACTGCATTTTTGATCAAATAAAAATGTTTCAAAAACATTAAAAACCCTTAATAATTCCAAACTGGCGTATACAATTCTACAAAATATCGTAAGTAACTGACCTGATTTGGCTTCTTCTAATTCTTTGGCCTCCTCGAGTTCTTTGGCTTCTTCCTCTGTGAGGAGAAAAACAGACGAGAAGGAATGCGTTTAGAGTCTCCAAACAAATGCAGTCACATTATTTTCCTCAGGAGGCAGACGCACAAACATGCATTCAGACACAGTTCACAGTTCACTTTCTCTACAGTCTACTGTACATTTAATCCAATGTGATTTATTTTTTTTACATAACATCCCCTTTTTTCTCTTCTCACAGCCAACCAATGCAACACTAATTCAATGTTGGCAAATGCATCAATAAAAGGACAATTATAACAAGATTAATGCATTTTATTCACACAATATCAGTTTTATTTATCTTATGTTATTTTTTCTATTTTATTTATTTATTTATTCGTAAGGTTATGGAAAATGCAAGTGTGCTATACAACACGCTACACCCAGTGTTATTTTAGTATGACATATTAATATCATTTGTTTTTTATATTCTGAATTGTTTTTATATGTATTTGCTGTATTCATGTTAATTTTAAAGCAATTGTGTTGCTTTTTTGTCCATTTTTTTTTTTACGTCTATCGTTTTTATTCATTTTATTTTTTGTTTGATATTATTATTATTATTATTTGATATAAATAATTATTCTATGAAGACAGAAGCCACAGAAATTAACCATCTATCCTGTACATATATACATATTTCATACCTTTTAGAAAATATGGTTATCGAACCCAAATAGAGGATTTCTGATAATTCACATTGAGATGAATAAAAGGAAACATTTGATCAAAAGTGAGGAGGAGCAGAACTGAATGGAGAGAAGCAGGAGGCCAGAGCTGAGATCAGAGAGTTGATTTGGCTGTGTGGTGGCTCTCGGGGCCCCGTATCCGGATAACAGCCCAATCTCTGGAGCTGCTCGCTCTGGTTAGGATCCGCTCAAACTCTCCACACACATTATGACAGCAGGAAAAATGAATTAGTGAGCGCTAGAGTCTGACCGAGTCCGAGGACACGAGTGTCCAGACCAATCTCCTGCAGAGAACCCGCAGCCACAGTGGAGCAGACAGCATCTATTACACTGCGCCTCCTCACACACACACACACACACACACACTCATTCACAGACAAACACAAACTCTATCTACACCTCCATACACACTCACACACTCACTCCTGCACCTCCTCACACACTCACACTCACTCCTTCTATATCCCTTCACACACTCACACTCACTCCTTCTACACCTCCTTACACACTCACACACACCCACTCCTTCTACACCTCCTTACACACTCGCATACACCCACTCCTTCTATACCTCCTTACACACAGACCCACACCTTCTACACCTCCTTACACACACACCCACTCCTTCTATAGGATCCGCTCAAACTCTCCACACACATTATGACAGCAGGAAAATGAATTAGTGAGCGCTAGAGTCTGACCGAGTCCGAGGACACGAGTGTCCAGACCAATCTCCTGCAGAGAACCCGCAGCCACAGTGGAGCAGACAGCATCTATTACACTGCGCCTCCTCACACACACACACACACACACACACACTCATTCACAGACAAACACAAACTCTATCTACACCTCCATACACACTCACACACTCACTCCTGCACCTCCTCACACACTCACACTCACTCCTTCTATATCCCTTCACACACTCACTCCTTCTACACCTCCTTACACACACACCCACTCCTTCTACACCTCCTTACACACACACCCACTCCTTCTACACCTCCTTACACACACACCCACTCCTTCTACACCTCCTTACACACACACCCACTCCTTCTACACCTCCTTACACACACACCCACTCCTTCTACACCTCCTTACACACACACCCACTCCTTCTACACCTCCTTACACACACACCCACTCCTTCTACACCTCCTTACACACACTCACCCCTGCACCTCCTCACACACTCCTTCTACACCTCCTTACACACTCACACACACTCACTCCTGCATCTCCGTACACACACTCACTCCTTCTACACTCACACACACTCACTCATTCTGCACCTCCGCACGCACTCACTCCTGCACCTCCTCACACACATACACACACACACTCCTTCTACACTTCCATACACACTCACACACACTCACTCCTTCTACACCTCCTTACACACTCACACACACTCACTCACTCCTTCTACAACTCCTTACACTCACTCCTGCACCTCCTTACACACTCTCACTCACTCCTTCTACACCTCCTAACACACTCACACACACTCACTCACTCCTTCTACACCTCCTTACAC